TTGTTCTCATTTGATTGAACGTTCTCTTCAAACTTAATTAAGGAATTAATACTATTCAACCAATGTATTGAGAAGTATGATATTTTAGAAAAAAAGAGAGTATGCTTTTATAAATCATTTTCTTATAGAAGTGTGCTTTTTAGAGGTTATTTTAATAACAGACTTTCACAAAGTAATGTTGAATTGCTTTTATAATACATCCAACTAGATAAATCCATTGCTGAGAACCCTAGATAAATGTCTTTCAGCTTGGAGGAGAATGTGTGTATATATATAATGATTCTCAATATCAAGAACTAAGGAATTGAACCATATTGCATATCCCAGGTCTAACTTGCATGATATTTGAAAACCATATAGACAAATAAAGCTTATAGGAACAGAGAGCATTACCTATATTCTTTCTCTTATGGCATCTAGCCTCCAAATATGATTTTTCCCCCCAGAAGATAGTCAGTTTTTAAGGAAAAGACACTTTTTTTTTGCTTTAAGAATTTACATATGTTTGTACTTAAAAATATGAAAAAATTTGTTTTGCAAAGTATAACATAGTAGTGGCAGGCATGAACTCTGGAACAAAACGCCTAGGTTCAAATTCCAGCCCTAACACTTAAGAGCGGTGTGATCCTGGACTATTTCTTAGCCTCACGGCCTCAGTTTCTACATCTTCAAAACAAGCATTTTTCTACTAGCCTTTTCAGATTGTTGTAAAGAATGACAATAAACCAACAAGCTAACTGCCATCCAGTCACTGCTGATTCAGAGACCCTTGTGAGTTTCTGATACTGAAATTGTTTATGGGAGGCGAGCACCCAGTCTTTTCCCCATGGAGCTGCGGGTGGCTTCAAACTGTGGACCATGTGGATTGCGCCCAGTCCGTTACCAGTACATACCACTACACCACCAAGGCTCATGAGTTAAAAGGAAGAAAGCATGTAGAGCCGTACTTGGCACTTACAAATACCAGCTAAGCGTCTGTGGTATTATTAGGAAGAATTTCTGATCATAAATTCCTTTGAGAAGGGACTGAAAGCTTTGGGACATCTGAGTTTTGTGTGTCATTTTAAGGGATGCGCAGAGCTCCTGAGACACACCCTGGTGGTGAAATGAGTTAAGTGCTCAGCTGCCAACCAAACAGCTGGCGGTTCAAACCTACACAGAAGAAAGAGGCGACAGTCGCGCCGATAAAGATTTACAGGCTTGGAAGGCCAGTGGAGCAATTCTACTTTGTCCACTAGGGTCACTGTGCACTGGAATTGACTCAGCGGCCATGGTTTTTGGTTGCTGCCTTTTGGTTTTCCGCACGGGCTAAGGGTCCTTCATTTCAGACGGAAATGATTGAAGCCTGGACAGTAGCTTTAGTTTCCCTGCATTTTGTACGGAGGGAATGCTTTTCAGATGATGTAGGTAATTTATTCCTATTCCCTTAGCTAATGAGATAAAAATAATTTGGACCAGAACCTTAAAAAATTAGGCATTAAATTCAGTGTCATCCCAGGCCATTGTTCCCATTCTTGGGCAGCTGCCCTGCCCCTAGTTGAGTTTTCCTCATGGTACTCATGACTTTGACTCCTTTCACAGCATCACCAAGATAGCAGCATCAGTCAAGCCTGAACCATAGCCATGTAGATGGAATAAACATGAGGACAACAAGCAAGGGAATAGTCTGCAGGAATCTAGACACTGCAAGATAGGCCGGTTTAATATTTGTACTCCTGCTTCTGCACTACAGCCTGTCCAGTATGCTTTTTATCAATAACGCTGATACTGCTCTGTGTGTTCCCATCAATGATGTCTATTGTAAGAAATCAAATAGCATTTAATAGGAACCTTAAGTATTTATTAGCAAGGGCATCACTATATGTGACTGGAATTTTAGAACTGCCTAAAGAGTTATAGTTTTAGCATCAGTGACGTAAGTGTGCATAATTATTTTAGGAGAATAATAGAGAGCATACAGATGTTTATTCTTGTATATGTGTGTTGTAAAGTGTACAAAACAAAGCTGATTTTCTTGTGGCAGATGGGGAAGATAATGCGTGGTCCATTCATGAAGTTTGTAGCACACGCCTCCTCCTTCACCATTTTTCTGGGACTGCTAGTCATGAATGCAGCTGACAGATTTGAAGGCACCAAACTCCTTCCTAATGAAACCAGCACAGATAATGCAAAGCAGCTGTTTAGGATGAAAACATCCTGCTTCTCGTGGATGGAGATGCTCATTATCTCCTGGGTAATAGGTAAAGACTGATTTTCTGTCATCATTTCTTTTTGCAGCCTTAGCAGTTGACTGAATGGCACTGATTCCTTCGCGCATCAGTGTGATCAATGTCTGCGGCATGACCCAGGGCACCCACATCCGGACTTCCTTTGTGCTCGTAAAAGCCATTGCGGGGCCTTGCTATCAGTGTCACTGTGTTCTCACGGCGGTAAATGCTTCTTGCATTTCCAAAAATGCCCCAGGAAGAACACCAACAGCATAGTATGCCTCTAGCCTTACTAGTGACAAAGACAGACAAACACCCTTGTCATGTATGTTTTGGAAGACTTCAAGCTGACAACAGCCACATGGTTTTATATTGAGGTCGAATACCAATTAAAGCTAATAGCCACTCACATTATTGAACTGGGAATTATTTGAAACATTTTATATGTATCAAATCATGTCATCTATCTGTTCCTCAGTTTCCTATTCCATAACATCTACTTCCTAAGATTTTTGTGATAATTATGTAACCTGCTTTAAATTTACCAAGTGAAAGAGAAAGAGTCTCTGGGTGACACAAATGGTTAAGGGCCCCACTAAGTAACCAAAAGTTAACAATTTGATACCCACCTAAAGGTGCCTCTGGAGACAGACCTGCACTCTGACTCTGTAAGGGCTCAAAGCCAACTAAACCCACTGCTGTCCACCCCTCAAGGCTCTGTAGGGTAGAGTCGAGCTGCCCTAGACTGTGGAGACTACAGGGACAGACCGCCTGCTGATGATTCCTCAGAGCACTTGGTTGGGTTTGCAGCCCCACCCTTAACCTGCTGCACCACCAGCACTTCTTTCTGAAAGGTCCACACCTTGAAATCCCCGTGGAGCATTTCTGCTCTGCCCACTGTGGGGATCTCCATGAGAGGACTTAACGGCAACCTGGAATAACAAAGTGAGAGAGGGAATTCAGTCTTCAGCGGCTATCCGCGGTGTCTTTAGAACCCTTCGTTCTCATTCATGCCTCATCACCAAGCAGAACATCAGTGAGGAGGATGCCAGCCAAGCATTCAAGGATGAGCAAAAGTAGCCATGGGTTCTGGTGGCACGGTGGTTAAAGTACTCGGCCGCTAGGCAAAAGTTTGGTAGTTGCCCCCACGAGCCCCTCAGAGAGAGAAATACCACTCTGCCTCCATAAAGATTCAAAACAAAAACGCCTCCGGGGACATTGTGTCGATTCTGATGCACAAAGACCCTACCTGGGCTTTCTCAGGCTTTGTAAATCTGTATGTGAACAGAGAGCCTGGTCGTTCTCCCACTGTGTGTGATCGTGGGTTTGAATGGCCGACTTTGCCGTTAGCTGTCACCAGGGCCCCTTTCATAAAGATCACAGCCTTCCGAATTGTATGGGGCAATTCCTACTCTGTTCTATAAGGTATGCTATGAGTCAGAATCAACTTGATGGTAGTAGGTCAGACTCAATAGCTAATAAATTATTTTATTAAGTAATAAGGCAAAAAAGAATTGAATGAGGCACAGTCCTTGTCCTGAGTGAAGTTAAGTTTAGAAGGCGATGTCATTAAATAAATTAGTAATTAAAATGCAATATGACAAATCATATCACTGAGGTTTGTGAGGGCATTACGAGAACTTCCATGTCGACATTTCATTCTGAGTGAGATGCGGTGTAGACTAGGCAGAGCGGCAGGCAGTGCTGAACACAATGTGAGACACTGAAGACAAGCAAATGCTAACGCGATGGGCTGCGTGGGGGAATACGGACACTACCATGCATGGAAATATTAGATGTCAAGATGTGGAACACCTGACATACTTGAAGTTGGGCATCGCTGGAGGGCAGGTGCTTTGTGGAGGTGGGTGATGAGCGATAAGGGTAAGGAGATGGCCTGTGGACAATTTCAAGGTGTTGAAAATGTGCTTAGATCTCCTTTTATAAATGTCGCCATGTTTGTGAGGTAGAGAGAGGATTGGATTGTCTAGAGGAGGGGCGAGGCTGGAAGTCGAGAAACAGTGGTAGTATCCTCGTGAGGAAGATGAGTACCTGAAGAGTACCTCTACCTCCAGAAGAGACTGGGGACCTAATTGAAAAATAAACTCCCAGGAGCTGGGTGCTTTGTCGCACGTGAAAGGTGGAGGAAGGGGAGGAGCGGCATGGATGCTGGGTTGGATCACTAAGGTGGAGGAAGGGGAAGAGTGGCATGAATGCCGGGTTGCAGCACTAGCCGGACGGACGACAGCGGTTTTCTAAAGTGGAGAGTAGAGGAGCCGAGTCGATCTGAAACTGGAGGAACAAAAAGCTGATAATGATGTTTGGGGTGTGATTGTCTTTGAAACGACTATGGGATGCAGAATGCACCAAAGCAGCATTCAATAAACACCATATAACCATACTTCCTCCATTAAGCTTTTCCTAAAGGGTTCATTTAAGGCCTCGAACCAATTCAGTCATGGCTGACAAAGTGACCCTGCAGCAGACTCCAACTGTTTCCATTGAGGAGCTCCCGATGAGAACAGAATGGGAAAGGTCCAAGCAGGAATGAGAGCTCAGAAGAGGGGGCATGAGCCCTTTCAGGAGCCTGACACACGACCTGGGCCTATTGCATGGCCTGTGGAGAGCAACACATTCAAAGTGGTACAGTCAGCTGACGTCTTTGAGGGGGAATTGCTGTTTGGAACTCTGCTCAAAATCCACTGGGCAGGAGCTCTGCTTTCTAAGAGGGTGATTAACTTTCTAGGACGTAAGCCCATATGTCTTCCTGTTCCTGTTAACATTACAATTCACCCAAAGTTAAAAACGTTGCATTGACTCTGGTCTTACTGCCTCTGCCATGATTGAGCCAGGAAAAACTAGTGCGAAGCCCTGACTTATTTATATCAGTTAAAAATAAAATGCTTATTTCCTACTGAATGCATATTAGACAAGATATGACTTTTATTTTATTAAAGATTTTAAAAGACAGGACTTTTATATTCACAAGATGAAACTGAAAAGATAAAATTTATATGCAGGGCTGACATATCATTACCACCCATTTTATTCTCCATCAAAATGTACTGTTCATATTGTAGTATAATTTTAAATACAAACATTTGATGTTTTCCCTTTCTAACCTAAAAGCCTACCTGGAAATATTACATTGACCTTGGATTTTAGGAGGGAATATATTTCCCATGGAGCTCTTGATCTGCTCACGTTTGCATTTAACCTTACGGATCTGACCTCAGTGTTGATCGAATGGGGGAAACCATGATTTAACTCAAAACAGATGGCTGATACCTTTATAGCATAGGTTAGACTCCTGATTCCAGAGTGACCTTGGGAGTTGGTTCTTTTTGCTGTTGTTGTTGTTTATTAAGAAAAACGTTCTCCTTTTTGAAGTTATTCTTGAAAGAGGGATGTCGTCCTTGTTGGAACTATGAACAAGGAGTGGCCTACTGTGGTCAGATGTTGGGAAAGTTACCGTGGCTTCAGGAAACAGACTCCCACATCAGCCACAGAAAGCATACTATCTAATTTTTAGTTGACAAACAGCCGAAAGATGGAGTGATGGAACTGATCGTCATGGAGAGTTTGAAAAGGCAGAAGAGTGAGTCCAAATGAAGATGAGGAGGCATGACAGGGACAAGAACACTCTTGTTTGCAGACGCCACTCCATGTGAAAGGGTTCTGGTGAACACTGTTCACCAAATGCTCAATATGAGAGAGCAAACACAATTCTGGTGGACTCCGTGACCACAGGAGAATGCTTCTGGCCCCGGGCTGTTAGCCACCTGCTGTTCTTGGCTCTGTCCAGGGTTGAACATGGCTCTGGGTGCTAGGTGCTAACCAGACACCCGGGGGAATAAGGCACCTTTCAAAGAGAGCAACCATCAGAGTGTGTGGTCCCTTCCCAGAGAAGCACTTGAGGGGCCTGGGGAAGCTTTGCTTGGCCTCAGGAGTTGAGTGGGAGCCAAGTATTCCAAAGCTTGAGGCTCATTTATTTCGAGGGTCCTCTAGAGAAAACGAAAACCAAACCAGGCCCTAGAAGGAGCCCTGACAACAAAGCCTCCCAAGTTTAAATTTCCTTAGCCTCAACCTAAACCAGCATCTGTTGGAGAAGAAGAAATAGATTTAATGAGCACACAGGTGGAGGTTGTGGGTGTTTCAAGAAGGCCGAGAGATCAGACTGATTCTATATTGCTCCTAAGGGTAGAAATAGGCCCGTCAGGTCCACATGGGAGATTGGATGCTGAGATCCATGCGAGACTGCAACAATGGACTGAGCAGCCTTTAGAAGTATAATCACCTCATTTCTAGAGTTACTCAGGCAGAGGCGCCCTGCAAGCCACACAAGTTGGACCAGATGGGGGATTTCCAACCACATACAGCAATGTGCTGAGATCCACAGGGGAGAGAAGACAGGAACTCTTTCTTCAGGCAGAAGAGGTCACTGTGTTTGTTTTATTTTTAAGACTTTGGTAAGGTATTATTTGTACCAAGAATTCTACTTCTGAAAGACAGAAATAAAAAGAATTGATTGGGGAAGAGGAGGAAGCTTTGAACGCCAGGAGATGATAGTAGTTTAAAGGTCTCTTTAATCCACATAGGACCTCTGGTGGTGCAGATGGTTAAGCATCGGTTGTTAAGTTCAAGGTCAGTGGTTCAGACCCACCAGCCACCTTTTTAATGGCGAGACTGTCTGCTCACATCAAGATTCATAGTTCTAGAAACTACGGAGCAGTTCTACTCTGTGCCACGGGGTCACTATGAGTCAAACTGACACACTCATCCTGGGTTCAATCCCTATGTTCCCATTTTTCTGAAGTCTCTTTCTCTTCTTGTGGAGAGAGTGGCAGGAACCCAGGTAGCACCAAACCAAAGCTTCCTTTACTTTTTTCATACAGTCTCTTAGGCTCAGTGTGTGTGTAGTGGCAGTGATGTGTGTGTGTGTGTGCACTCACAGAATTTCCTCTGTTAAATTTGATACACACACACACACACACACACTCAATACTGGGTTGCTCTAAACTTAAAACAGCTCA